TCTAACCAAGTATTCTTCTTGTTCGGAGCTTTGAGTGGATTTGCTCGTAAAGACCAAACACCGTTTCGCTATACAGGGATTCTCGAAGCTCCCAATTCAGGATCTAAAAAATACCCCAATTGGCATAGAACGTATCATCTACTTCTTCGGTAATTATCCAATCACTGCGGCAATTGCTGTTGCTCATTCTCATATTTACAATTATTAACTGATTTCCGTTGATCTACAACTTTTGTGTATCTTCCGAACGGAACCCTCAACAAAGTCACGGAGACCTCGAAGTAATCTGCCTCCGGCTACGCATCCGCGTACTGACCACGGACAACGTCGCTTAACCTCGGAAATCGCTTAGACAACAGAACTTCCATGACTCCACAAAAGCTCCCTCTCTAGTGTGTTTGTTGTCAAAGCGTCTAAATTTGTCCAAATTACAGGGGTAAGAGTTGACGTTGGCCAAACAACGCAAACGTTAGAATTGACGTTGCGTCCTGCAGAATGGAAATTTCAAAAACCGCCGGGAATGCCAACGCACTATAAACGCGCAAAAAAAGTGCCCTTTCAATGTCCTGCTTAATGATGTAAACGAATGCACCAGCGTACATACCGAAAAGCTGGAAGCGGAGTGACATGGGGAACGGGGCTTCCCTTGTTCGGTTTAACAAACCTGAGGCAATAAATTTCTTTTTTCCTCCAGGCGAAAATAATTAAATTCGGCCAGCAGAGTGTATTTTTTCCCCTGGGCACGGTATTCCGATTTTTTAGATATAGTTATCAAGGTATTCAGTAGCCCCCATAAAAGCAGTATTAAAAAAAAAAAGAGCGCGTTGAATGCCAGTATTCGAAAATCGCATATCGAACCTGTATCCCGATTCTTTCAAAATCTATCACGCCTGGTTCTAATCACTTTGCCCTTAATATCCTCGAGAAGACTCTTAAATCCCCCTCACAGGCGATCACATCCTTATTTAGGTAATTCGAGCGTAAAATCGCCGATAACCTGGCCTGATTTCTCGGGCAATATCAAATCTAAACGATTACATCCTAAGTCGCGTCTCCCGGGGAATATTGGGCTCCAGATCTTCATGATTTTTTTGATTTCCATCTCAACTTAGGAACCGTCATCCTCGCGGAAGTACGGCCCGACACGACGGCAATCAACGATCATTTAATACCGCGGGGGTGTACATGAACTCGAAACAGAAAATTCATTTGGAGCAACGGGTTGTCACTCGCTGGAAGTTATCATATCACGATTTATCCGTCCCGTCGGTGGCACGCCCGCTTTATTGGATTATTACCATTACGCGGGGGTAATCGACGGGGCTGTTTCAACGTGGGCCCCCGAGTGCCTATCTATAAAAATGTCGAGCGTGTTTCCGAACTTTAAATCGCCGGCTATTATTCCGACGAGGAGTCGACGGACCGACCGAAAGTTTTCCGATAAATCATCGCGGCCGGTCGGGGAGGGAGGGAGGACTTGCGAACTAATAAATATTAATACGGGACGGTTACTTCATAATCGATTACGACTTTTCCCGCTCGCCATAGTTCGCCCCCTCCTCCCCCCGGCCGCCCCCGCCTCGATCGAGAGGGACTTCTACGAATTTTTACCGAGATTTCGAAAAACTTTGAAATTTAAGCAGGAAGTCATGTCCCTCGTCATCCAGGGACCGTTCTTATCGAGTTATGACCGTGTTATATCCCGTTAATTAAAACGAGGTGAATGGAGATTGCTAATAATATGCAAATTATAAGATTTTGCGATCGTGAAAGTCCTCGTCGCTCGCACGGGACGCTGTTCGTGCGGAATATTGTATTATCGAATAAGAATTAATATTTTGCTTTTTTACTTGTCCGCTTATATATTAATAAAAGTGATTGGTTGAAACTTAAGTTTTCAAAATTTATTTAACATCGGGATAGACGCTCCAATTGCTATTGTTTAGTAATAAACAGGAATTACAATTTTGCTTAATTTTGTAAAGTTTCTTCCTTAGAGTAGACTCAAACTTTATTCTTGTATTTTTCACTTCTAAGTTTCTCTGTACCTTGGGTTACAGGGATTACAGGGAATTCGCAAGTGCTTGCGTGCTCCCGAAGTTAATTCCGAGCAATCGATCGATGTAGATACTAGACAATTGTAAGTCTAAAAGAACCTACAGACGTGTTTAATTTTTTTTTTCCCCATAAAAGAACACTTTCTTGATTGAGTGCATCTGAATTAAACAATGTTCCTTTTAAAAGTCTGATTATGATTGCACTACTGCGTAAGAAATCCTAGCTATACAAATTAAAACTTTGCTGCCAACAATATTTTGTTAACGAATCGATGAATGTAATGTCTCGTAACGTATACATACTCAATATATATATATTTCTCGCGCATGCGTTGATTGTATTAAATCTTTTAATTCTGTCGTTTCTGATAATAATGCTCGGTGAATATACTGCTCTCATAAGGTCACATTATATATATAAAAATTTACAATAAAAGTACTCCTCGAATAATGGTATAAAATTAATATATTGGACGGAAATTCAACCGTAAAATGTGAACGTTCTATCGCAGAATATGAATACATATGGTTACAGTTTTATGTTTGCCATTCATTCTACTTTGTGCTGAATTTGATAACACGAGGCTATTCTGTTTTCGGTAGAACTTCCATAATTCGAGTCCAACATTATCAACGCACATGATTTTCAAACGTTAAATAAGTTTAATCCTTCCCTAGCCGATGAATTCTCAAGCTCTCTCCTACTGGCAATATTGACGTTGATTTTAATGCACATCGAATTCAAATGTTTTAATAGAGATATTTGGTCGCAATATCGGCTGATCTGCGACCAACAGATTAATTATTCCGCCTCCATAATTTATTCACACGAGCTGCATAATGTAGGCGGCTGAAAACAGATTTCTCACAGATTTCCGGGACAAACGTTCGTATCCAATTTATAGAAACATTCGCTAACTGAATCACGGAAGAACGTTGCGACGATGTAGCTCTTGAATTAATACATTCGATGATGTTCACGTCCAACGAACTGACTCGACAAGAGTTAAGTCATAAATTCCCAGTTGCAAAATTTATTTCCCACGGGTGATGTAATCGCGTATGAATGTGCACAGTAACGAGACTCTTGTTTCCGCAATCACAACAAGTATCATCCTAGACTTAAGGTGAAGTGAAACCCCTTTCAAATCAATCGGATTCAGATACATCACTTCTTTTTAAGGGTATGGACCAAACTGTCCAAAACTTTGACACATGACTCGTGATCATCTAAGAATTGCCCTGACACATTAAAAATTTAGATTTTTGGAAACATTTTTTTAACTTAGCCCAGACATGAACCAAAATGGCGTCGAGCTCTCATATTTCGATTAATATACTTATCATATATAATATATATATTATATAATAATATAATTATCGAAGGCTCTGATATGAGAAACGAAAGGGTCGGGACAATTTTACGACAATTTAGAATTCTCTGGTAATCGATAAACTCGAATTTCAACGGGATAAAGGCAAAAAAAGTGTTTAATGCGCTTCTATGCTAAGACGATGGGAATACGATGTCTCGGAGAGAAAATTTAATTGACCAGGAAATCACAGATGGCGGAGGGGGTCCCTCTGCAGTCAATTAGGGCCCCAGAAAGCATGAATCTGGAGGATTCCTGGAGTTATACTTCGATTTCTTTATAATTATTGTACGAAAACGACAGGTGAAGTATGCATTTGGTACAATATCCAATATAATTCGACACAGCTGTCAATATAAAAACGAACGTCGGCAACGTAGGTATTTAGAGAAATCTTCTTTATCGACGTCGATCAAGTTCTTCGACGTGTTTCACTTCACCTTAAGATGAATAATTTAGTTATTAACCGTCCTGTTAATTCAAATTGATCTCTTGTAGAATTCACTTCACGTCAGGACTCTGCATATTAGTATGAGTACAAAGCTCTTTCCCATGAAATACAAATATTTACTTCGAGTGATTTAAGAGAAATCTTCACTTTTGTTTATTACCGTAAATATTAAACGATCGGATACATAGAGAATTGAGATATAACAGCTTAGTTCGCGTGGTTTGATTATGCGGTAAATTAATTTGTATATTGATTCCACAATAGGGACCATTAGAGTGGACCGCGGAATCAATTCGGAGATAATTCAATGTTGCATTTACACATGGATAATAGTTAAATTTCACGTACGTAAAAAACATTTATTAAGCTCGGCGGTATACTTCATTTTTATTAGATTTTCGACAATGAAGGTTTAATAAAGTGGGTGCTGAGAATTTCATCACTCCGGGTAATCTCGCAGCTTGCAATTACAAGCACAATTTGAAATAAATCCAACAAATAACTGCAGTAATCCGTTGGGTATGCCGGATAAAAGAGCTACGTTTAATTTAAATGGTACTTTAACGGGGTTTTCATTCCATTTACCTCGTCTGAAACAGACGTTGAATTGATAATTGTCTCCCCTTTTCCAGTAAAGAAAATTATTTCAAATAAATTTTCCCTCTTTTCACCCAGATAGAACCCGTCGGGAGGACAGGGCAGGGGTACAATTTACTGGCTGCAGGTCAAATCAAAAAGGAAGATGTACCGGCCGCTTTCCTCCTTTTTTTTCAAAAATAAAACTACGTAACTTATAAATCTACAACATATCCAAACTCGAGTTTATAATCCAACCCTCTAAGTAATCCATTCAGTCGGTGCGATGCGTGAAGTCCCGTATAACAAATTTTTATAAAATTTACACTGGAAGAAAATCGATTTTATTCAAACTCGTACTAACGCAAATCCCCCATACTTTATTCTACTTTATTATACCTTGATAATAATCAATATAGCGTACTGCTAAAGCATTACGGCACAGGTTGAATGTCTCGCCAAATGGGGGGAAAAAAAGTTCGCGGAATCTCTGGGTACAGCGATACGCTTTTATGGTAATTTAGAATTACACAGTAGGTTTATTCGGTATCACGGGATTATCCTATCTTCGATAAATCATTAAAATCGAAGGTAAAACAAGAATGAACTTGAACTCTCCTCGCCGCGGAGCTTTAAAATTCATCATGTAACCTGCCTCGGTTCGCTTCACGTCCGGAGCGTGCCATCTCCCTTCTCGATAGTTTCGACAAAAAATTTAATTGCGACGTAAAGAAAAGGACTACGCTCCCCTATCTCATATATCATACCTCTTGCCGATCAGTTTCCACGAGCAGTCTACGACGTAAGTCGATGGGCAATTAGTAGCCGAGGCGACGCAAGTACCTCTTCCATATTCCTAAGTACATTATCTCTCCATGTGACCATCGGATACGCGGATATCGCAGCGGCACATAAATGATTTCTCAACGCCCGCGATATACATAATACGCATAACATACCGCGGTAAATTAAATATTTAAGGTACATAAATTCGTTTTCGCGGAAAAGGCGTCCGTCAAGTGGAACGATATGGCGGAGGGGAAGACGTCACTCGTAGTAGAGGCCAAAGACGCAGACCCAGGCGTAGACGGCGTGGCTCTCGTACACATAGTACGAGTAATTATCACGTTCGACGTCCCAGAGGCACTTGAAGGCAACGTGGGCACTTTGGAACTGGCGCTGCATTATGTTGACCTGGACGATCACTTTACACCTGGGGAAAGAAGGAGGAAGGCCAGGGGCGTGAGAGAGCGTCAAGGTACGTGCCGAGTAAGCGTAGCTCGTTTCACCTGTCGTAGTCTTTCCTCGAGATTGCCCTGAGCACTTCCGTGGAAATTTCGGCGGCTAACCTGGTAACTAACTGGTGCTGGTACGTCGTCAGAATCGGCAACTTCTTCTCCATCACGTCCCTCAGGATCTTATCGACCGCCTCGGGCTCGAAGCGCCTGTACGGCTCGAGACGGTAACTGTTCTGGTACCGAGGAATCTGGGCGTTTCGAGAAGGGACCGATCGTAGTCAACCCCGCCACGAATTACTCACCGTTTTGACCGGCGACATCTCGCGGAAATATATCGATCCGATTTCCCGCGGGTCCTACAATTTTCCCAGTACCATTATCTGCTGTCGCTTCTCGAAGAAGAAGCGGCTCACGCTCGAATTCAACAGGGACAGCTTCGAGACCGTTTTCCTCTTCACCTGCGGAAAGGAATCGGTTAGCGACTCTTGAGCGAGCCTTGCCGGATCTCTCCTGATTTCTTCCCTTTCTTTCGAACTCGAGGGGCAACTTCCGGCACTAACTTTCTTTGTCGGAACTTAACGATTCTACGCAAGGGGTTTCATGGCAAGACGGTTCCCAGGGATAGTAAACCGACGGGCAAAATAAATTATTTTCTAAGTAAACCTCGGGATCGCTTATGCCGGTATGTAGTTTATCAGAGGTTAAGTCGCTAAAAAAAGCCGAGACAAAAATCGATTCTCTTCGTTCGCCCCTGTGAAAAATGACCCACGGTAAAAAGGATGGATCGAGCACGCGCGTTGCGCTTAACAATGAGCCGAAAGCTCCTTCGATCTTCGCATTACGAAACTTTGATTAGGGTAAAAACCGGATAGATGCCACGCGTTCCAGATCTTTAAAACAAATTAACTTTTAGCGACCTGACGTCCCTGCTTGCATAGCCCCTCCCCCCGGCACTTCATATACGACGCAACCCTCATGAAACATGCACGTGCGTAGGGTTATGATCGCCTAAAAAAATCAGTGCATCAGATTTGCCCGTAAAGTTTTTCTCAACTCGAAGGAACTGCTATAAAAGTAGAAAACTAGCACGTAAACCAACATATTTACCTCATTCCTACATCATAAATATAACAATTAAAGACCTTCAACGGTGTCCTAATCTCATTTTGTAACGTTTATTTTGATATGTACGAAGGTATCTATCCGTACCTAAAAAGATAGATGCCCTAGTTTAAAGACAATAGATGCCTAAAATATCACATTTTTGGTACGGATAGGTGCCTTTTGGAGATTATTCCATTTTCTATTTTTTTTTTTCTTTTTCGTTTTATTGTATTCAACGCGGAGCATTTAACGATATTTACTCTAAGTAAACATATTCCATTACAGAATGCCGAGACATTACATTCGAAAAATAGATGTAGAAAATGAATGTTTGTTCTAACGTATATGCCTATGTTAATCATTAAAAACTATTTTTGTTAACTTTGCTAAGATTAAAAATACGGGTTTTCAAACAAATTGATTATGATTTGATTTCTTCTCCCGCAGGGCATCTATCCCACTGGGGTGGGATAGATGCCGAAATCGAGACCTTTTTTATTTTTCTTCTACTATAATAACTATTGATCTTGGGCAAATAATTGTAGAATATAATGAAGATAAAATATGACGGCATGATATGGACATGGAATTGTTTGTAAACTAAAGCAAATACCGACTTTAGAAGTATATGTTAAAAACGTAGGCGTCTATCCGGACTTCACCTTAATGCATCCAAACCTCGAAACATCGAGATGCCCAAAGCTTTCGTCAAAAGCAATCCCTGCTTCCCCGTTTATGTAACTGTCCTAGCAATGGATACGTGCAACGAATTGAAGGTAGATAAGCAAAGAATACATCGTTTATCGATTACATCTACATAAATCCGTGGTATTATTTTAGTGTGATTATTTTTGTTTGTTTATAGAGATTTAATGTACCGTAAAATCATAGAAAGTAAAAAGGGCCCTCATGGTTTGGGATTAAAAGGCCCGTTTAGCAGCGAATTGATTAAATCGAATTATCGACTCTATATCCTCCCAATTTCCACCCAGAACAGCAAATTTGAAATGGCCCGAAGGGCAGCAAATTTGAAACAACTTATAGGGTAGCCAGGCTGTAAATCCGCCGTTGGCGTTCGCGAACTTAAAGTTAAATATACGTATACCGGCTCAGACCCTACAATACCCAATAAACTTCAATACTTAGGCAATTTCCTTTACGACCAATTTCTCCACGCAATTTATTTCGATTTAATTACGTTTAAATACTATTTGATTTGTGGCGAGAAGAAAGCCAATATACGCGGACTATTTTCCTATTGGCTTGCATTAACCGAATTCAAAGAAAGGATTTTTACGTCCAGAATACTTTTCAGCCTACTTCTAAAATCTTAATATGTGTAAAAATGACTTAGCAACATATGAAACACTATGTAGGCCTTCGTTATACGCAACTTTGTTGTTTTAACTATATTAAAACTCAGTTTAACAAAAGCTACGGTCAATTTTTATCCCTATCGCCGTATCATCGCAAATGTATAAAATGTACGAAGTGTGCTAAATACAAAAGTTGTTTAGAATCATCCTGAAGTAAAGAACGTCCTCCCTTGTTTATAAAATTTTTACCGTTTAATTTCAGTCTTAATTGATTGACTCGTCGTAAAGACAACATAACCACGAAAAGTCATCGCAGATAAAGCAATTGACGTTACACTTGTGACGTTAAGCGTGTTAAATACAACAATTGTTTAAAATTATCTTAAAATAAAGAATGTCCTCCCTTGTTTATACAATTTTCACCATTTAATTTCGGTCTTAATTGATTGACTCATCGTAAAGACAACATAACCACGAAAAGTCATCGCAGAGAAAGCAATTGACGTTAAACGTGTTAAATACAAAAGTTGTTTAAAATCATCCTGAAATAAAAAACATCCTCCCTTGTTTATACAATTTTCACTGTTTAATTTCGGTCTTAATTGATTGACTCGTCGTAAAGATAACATAGCCACGAAACGTCAACGCAGAGAAAGCAATTGACGTTAAACTTGTGACGTTAAACGTGTTAAATACAAAAGTTGTTTAAAATCATCCTAAAATAAAGAATGTCCTCCCTTGTTGATGCAATTTTCACCGTTTAATTTCGGTGTCAATTGATTGACTCATCGTAAAGAGAACATAACCACGAAAAGTCATCGCAGAGAAAGCAATTGACGTTAAACTTATGACGTTAAACGTATTAAATACAAAAGTTGTTTAAAATCATCCTGAAATAAAAAACAACCTCCCTTATTTATACAAATTTCACCGTTTAATTTCAGCCTTAATTGATTGACTCGTAAGGACAACATAACCACGAAAAGTCATCGCAGAGAAAGCAATTGACGTTAAACGTGTTAAATACAAAAGTTGTTTAAAATCATCCTGAAATAAAAAACAACCTCCCTTGTTTATACAATTTTCACCGTTTAATTTCAGCCTTAATTGATTGACTCGTAAAGACAACATAACCACGAAAAGTCATCGCAGAGAAAGCAATTGACGTTAAACTTAGTAAAACACGATTACTATTACTACCTCAAGGGCCTTTTCTTCGCTCTTCCGTTCATGCGAGGCTAACTTGAGGTTCGTCTCGGAACGGGGGCTTTGTGGTTTACTCGTTCCGGACATTCTCAAACGCGTCTCCGCTTCCCTTCGGTCGAGATCTCTTTAACTCCAGTTAACGGGATTTCGCTTTTCTCGGATCCTTTCAAGGAGGCCCCGAGGAGGAACAAAGAACGAACACGATCGAAACTGTTATCGGGTCGGACTTCGCGATTTACATACCGAACCGAACTCTGGAGGCGACGCATCGGTGTGTTCTTCGAAGTAGGGGCAAAGCGTCCGTGTGTGCTCGATTCTCCGGAAATTCTCGAATATTACACCCTAACTACGTCGGGACCGCACCGTGGAGTGTCGATATAATGCTCACGTTCGATATTCAATATTCGTCAATAGTTATGTACACGGTTCCGCGTTTGCAAGAACTACATGCCCAAAAACGAGGGTCATACGTCATATCGTACATGATGTATGAGAGGTTCGGTGATGTGACACGAAAGCCATTTTTTTCCCGTTAAGGCGGTGAGAGACAACAGGTACTCTCCCCTGGGAGAGGCGATGAGATCCGAGATACGAGAACCCAAGGTTTTTCGATCCATCTGCCAGGAGCATATTTTATGCCATATTTTACGGCGATAATTACTTTTCCTTTCCGGATACGGTAGGTATATTTCAAGTTTTCACAGAATCTATAAATCTTCGATTAACAAATATTTTCGTATTTTTCGTTCCAAAGTTGAATATTTCGTAAGATTTCGATGCCCCTTTCGGAAGGTGAGACTTACAGCTTCGAATCGCCTTAAACTTTTTAAATGATACTTTTTTAAACTTCGGAAATTCGTAGAAATAATTCCTCTTATTCTTATGGAAGTATAAAATCGAGATTCAATTTGCTCAATTTGTGGGGAGATTTTAATGAATTTCATGGTGGAAAGGGTTAAGACCTATTACAAGCATTTAATTTCGCGTTACACGCGTATGTCAACTCTGTGCACTTGAGGCTATTTCACCTAATATACCCCGCAAAGGCCACTGGAGGGCAAAGGGTTAAAATGTTTCCATTGCACGTTAGAGAATTTAATAGTTCTGAGTGGCCCGTGCAGCGCCATCACTTCTATGCACTTCCGCACCGCGGTCTTTCCCTGAAGTTGCGACATGTTACGTGCAGTCAGTTCCCCAGAAATCCTTACACATAACTGCAACGAGGCCGTATAATGGGGCGTCCGTGTTCACTTATTCGGCAGCGGTTACGTACAGTAATGCTCATTAATACATGTACCCTAGACGCAAGGAAGACGAGGGAGAAACCGCGTTAACGCATTATGATGATATGTTACAGAACTGGACGGGGTTATCTATGCGGTGATATCATTGCTCTTTATGGCCAGGACATACGGTACAGGGGCTACTATTGTTGAATGCTGTAAGCACGCGGGTCAATATACACCGAAGTACTGATAACGTCATGACCTGGGGTTCATGAGATTGGGAACAATGGCGAACTTCTTCAGAAATTTAAAGCGATTTGCGTACACGCCGGAAATAATAATCGATTTGGACCTGGCAATCAGCGTCGCAGTTGAAAAATAGTAAATTAGAATCGTGGGAATAAATAATTTGGCAGGTTAAGGTACAATAAGTAATAGCTACAGTAATCGTATGTAATGAAATAATGC